ATTCTGCTCATAAAAAAAAGAAAATCAAGTCACTATCAATTTCCAAGTAGGCAGACTTCATTAAAAACAATGGCCAGAAGCATACAAACTGCTCTGCGTCATAGCTGCCTTACGCGGTTGGGGGGCTCACTGTTGAGGTGGTAGCCATGGGCACCGTGTTACACCAAGCACTGTGGTGAATCTCTTTCCAGCCATGTTCAGACCTCAGGTTGGGGGCCTGAAATCAGTCACTCAGGAGGTATTTACATGACAGAAATAGGCGAACCCACAAATCAAAATCTGACTTCTGTGTCTGTAGGGTCCATGAAACACTTGCCAGCAGCAAGTCCAGTGGATCAGCAAAGGCTGCTTGGTACCTGAGATTCAGGCAGGGGCGAAAAGATGGAGCTGCACGAGCAAGTGAGGACCCCAGAGACAGCGCACTCAGCTAAGCAGCTTGGGGCGCTGGTGGCACGGGCAGCGCTGGTGTCCTTGACTCACCACATGTGCAGTTTTTGAGATAATCATGTTCTCTGTTAAAATTTGACCTGGAGCTGTGATGTGTTTTAACATATTTCTGATGTTAAATCCCCTTGGCCTGAGATAAATCCCGCTTGCTTATGGTAATTTACTCTTTTAGTATACAGTGCTGTTGAGTTATTTAATGAATATTTTACTTAACACTTTATATCAATATTGATAAGTAGGCCTGATTTTTTTTTCTCTCTGTGTTTTTTGGGGTTAGATTTTCATGTCAGTATTACGTTACTTTCAAAAACTTAACTTGGTCATTGATTGATGATGAATTGATTAATTGGCCTTTGGAGACAAGGCTCACTATGTGTTCCAGGTAGCCTTGAACTCACTATTAGCTCAGGCTGACTTAGAACTCACAGAGATCCTCTTGCCTTAGGCTTGAGTGCTGGGATAACAGGTGTGCGCCACCACTCCCAGCTCTCCTGTAATTCTGAATAGAAGAGAAAGAATCTCAACACCAGGAGAAGCCTTGGGGAAAGGCTGTAAGACTCTGCCTGCCTTTAATAGTGGTATGAGCTGCTGGGCGTGGTGGCACACACCTATAATTCCAGCACTCAGGACACTGAGGCAGGAGGATCACCATGAGTTCAAAGCTAGCCTGGACTACATAGCGGGACCCTGCCTCAAAAAACCAAAACAAAACAAAAAGGTAGTATGAGCTGCCCTGATTTCTGTGTGATCCAGATCTTGGAGTGACAAGTCAGGACAGAAGCAGGCTCCACACAACCTCTCCTTTCTTCCTGCCTACTTCTTAATGAATTCATGAGAATTCCAAACTGGGCAGATATCAAGGAGCACAAGTATGGCTCAATTTTTCAGAGAATTTTTTGTTCAAAAATTTCTTTATGGGGCTGGGGAGATGGCTCAGTGGAATAAGAGCTTCCCTGGCAAGCTCAAAGGCCTGAGTTCAATCCCTGGTTCCACAAAAATAAAATAAAATAAAGATGAAGGCAATATTTTTTTTAAAAAATTTCTTTATTAGTATTTTCTTTTGCACATATCTGAATGCTTTTCAGTGGTTGCCTTGGGTGTTGAAAAAAAGAAAATCAAAGTGAGTCTCCTAACAGACACAGCTGCCTTTGCACCTTATGCAGGTCACAGATGACAATCAGGCCTGGCTTCTGACTGACAGCTTAGCAGGGCTGGTGTAAATCTCTGGGTTGCAGATAAGCAGGCTCAGACAGAATCCAGAACATGCAATGGAAGCACTTCCTAGGGGGCGGCGTCCTGTCCTGGAAACAGACTTGTGGCAGTGTTATTAATATCAAGTTTACATTAAGATATTTTCAGTTTTCAAACAGAAGCACTCCATCGTGCTGGAGCAAGCAAAAGAGAGAACAATGCTGGCAGTGGTTTATGCACTATCATATCAGAAGGCACGGATCGCAAAGGCTATTTGTCCTGGGGACCGGTGGCTCTTTTGCCAGGCATCAGGCAGCAGAAGGGAATCTCTCTGTAAATTCCAAATGGGAAAGTGCAGAAGAAACAGCAAGATGGGAGTGCAGTTGGGTCAGCTGTGCCAGGGTCAGGCCCTCCTGATAAGGCTGCAGGCACAGAGGATGTTTTGTCTCTGTGGACCAGCACTGTGCAAGACCAGGCAGGGTGGGGGATGCTGCCGCAGCCGCTGCCCCCTGGGTTTCCCCTGCCTCTCCTTGGTGGCCCACAGCTGGCCTTTCCCTGGGAACTGCAGACCACTAGAATCGAGGACCTCAGGAAATCTTCACTTTGCAAAACACAGCTGTTATCCAACATCCATCCTCCAAGCACACTGAGCTTTTCAAGATCTAGTTCCTCTCATTCTGCACTATCACGTGGGTATCATTATTCTAACCTGTGAGAGATGGGAGAACGGGCCTTGGCTCACATGAGCAAGCAAACCTGGAAGGTGGGAGAAATGAATCGAACACATCTCTAAAGAACTTCAGGAGATTCTCCAGCATCCCAAGGTTTATGGGGAGTCATTTGGTGGTTTGCTAGTTGCTTCTACAGAAGTGGTGGTAGACCTACAGCATGCATGCTGCAGTAGACAGTTTGTATCACTGAAAGTTCTGAAAGGTTCACCATCACTTTTCTAGAGAACACAAAGCATAATCGACTCGGGATGGCTGCTACCGAGAAAATCATTTATTTGTGTATGTGCTTTTCGGCAGCCTAGACTGTCTGAGGATTTTGAATATGCGCATGGATTGAAATTTGTGTTTCCTTTTAATCCTTCAGATTTGAAAGGCACCAGCTCTGCACCCCAGATCAGCTCTGCACCCCGGATCGCAAGAAGATTATTTTTTCAAACAACAGTCACCCTTTGACAGTAGGTAAGATCAGAATTTATTATACTAAGTTTATAACTAAAAGTAACCTTTTAAAAGAATGACAATTCTTTGCACCATTTCACTATAAAATGGGTTAGCTTTTACACATTCTGCTGTGTAATTTACCAGTCAGTTGGAGCTTACAGTGACATATTTGTCTAAGACAAAACAAAGATAGGAAAATGACCTAGAAGTTGAGAAATAATACAAACAGTACACAAGAAATCTCTTTTACATTCCTCTTCTTTTTCTACCCAACTAATAATTGCAAGTACATTATTTTATCTTATGATATTTATAATTAAGATAAACACTGATATAGCTTGTCCCTACGGCTCATGGGAGGTTACACACTCACCAATCTCTGCCACACTAGAGAAAGTGGCTTTTTGGACCAGATAGGCTCCACCAAGGAAGTGACACCCGCACCAAGCACCTTCCTCTCTCTGCCTGGCCGGATTGGGGTGCGAGCTCAGTGGCTGAGCATTTATGCCTTCGTGGCTTGATCCTAGGGCTGGAGCAAGGTCTTTAGGCTCCAAGTGCATCTAAGGAAGGCAGGAGACGAGCATTACTTAACAAGAGTAGGTAATTTTAGGACTCTGGATTGCAGTCTGTCCGGGAAGTCACAGGATGGCTCATTTTCCTGAACTCCATAGGGGAATAAGCTGCACACTGAAAACAAGAACTGTCAGAGAGTCGACCCCAAAGCTAATCCAGAGGGTGTGTGCTGAGGTGGGGTCAGCTTCTGCACAAGCGTTTCCTCACTTGGTGCCTGAGGAGGCCCAGCAGTGAGGTCCCCCTGCAGCAAACCAGACGTGGTTTCCAAATACCATTTCCTTTTCTAAGAATAAGGGACACTTTGGAGAAGTGGTCATTGCCACAGCTGGGACCAGGACAGTTCAACCTGGGGGTGCCAGGGAGTGAGGGTGTGGCTGAAAGAGCTTGCAGTGGCAGCACCATTTCAGAGTGAGCAACTACAGGGCTGGAATAGAGCCCTCTTTGAATATGCACATAATTGTTCAGACCGGATGGTGGGGAAATGACTGAATGAGGGAGGCAGAGAATGCTGTCTTCCTACAGAAGCATCTGCAAATCCTAAAACTAATGTGGGGGGGGGGAGCAAAAGGGTACGGATAACAGGATATAGGATTTTCTCAATCTCAAAGTGTTTCCGCCAAATGTGTATTGATTAAAGGAAAAACAATAACTTCACAGCAGAAAATACTGACAGATGCCACTGCAACTGAGTGGCCAGGATCAGTCAGTAGTAACAAGAGGCACTGAGCCTTGTGCCTGGGTATAGGGTCCTCAAGGGGCACCCCAAACCTTTGGCCTCCTTCCCTGTGGGATTACTGGAGAGCTGAGATGAACCCCAACAGGGAGACAGCTCACAGCTCACCTGTGCCCCAGGGTGTGGGAAGCTAGGAAGGGGCCAGGAGATACGGCATGTGGATGGTGTGGGACAGGACACAGCTGGGACCAGGACAGTTCAATCAACTGCCGTTGATTGCCAAGTGGGACCCTAAAACTGAAAAGGGACATTGGGGGGACAGCTGGTGAGGTCCAGGAGTGTTTGGCAGCACTGTGCCGCCATGGGTTACTAGTCTGGGTAACCGAGCTGGTCATACCCTGCCCACCCTTGGGAACTCTCTTCACACTGTGTCCTTAGCTTCACTCTGCCTTGGAGCATCTCAGAGCCCTGAGGCTGTTTTGGTTGGTTTTGTTTTGCTGGGCTGAGGGTGGAACTAAAGCCCTCACAGGCGCTCAGCAACCACTCACCCCTGAGCCACACCCCAGCCGTCAAAAAAGTTGTTAAAAAGACACAGAGGTCCTGAATAATCCCTCTTGCTACCTTTTCACTAACCAGTGGAGCAACGCTGCTGCTTGCTTGAAATCCTAGAAGGCCTGAGGCAGGGGCATCCTTTTCATCTGGGGTTTTTGTGAGCTGCATTTGGAAATTCTCTCCTCAACTATGTTTTTTCTGGGGCTAGAGACTGAACCAAGGCCCCAGCAGGCCAAGTCCCTGCTCCCCTGGGAGACCTGTGAGCGGGTGACTCCACAGGGCTGGGCACAGCTCCTGGGACAGCACTAGCCCAGCTCCCAAGGTTTTTGCAAAAACAAAACCACAACAAAACACAGCTCCTCAAAGTGCACTCCTCGGGAACCCCGCTTAGCCACAGTTCTGGGTGGAGGCAGCCTGGGTTCGTGGGAGTGTTCCAGCCAGAACTGTGGATGCGCTAGTATCTCATGAATCACCTCCTGGTCCACCAATATTTATCAGCAAGATGAGACTTAACCAGGACCTTAGCCTCCTGTTTGAACGGTGAGATGACTGTTGTTCTTAGATGAAGCGTGCAGGAACTCTGTGAGAACAGGCAGTGCAGAGGGGACCTGGAGGCCACAGGGAGAATCCGTGACAGCACGAAGGTTGCCTCAAGGATCTACTTAATCTTAGAAAGCCTGCCTCCATCTAAAATAGAAAAACCAAGCTCTTAAGAAACAAAGGTTAGATGTGTATTTTGGTGTCTAGAAATGAGTGGTCTAAACTCAATTGTTTTGGCATGAAAACTGAAATACGAAGTATTTAGAATTTGACCCTGATTGTGTGTCTGTGTGTGTGTCTCTGTGCGTGTGTGTGTCTGTGTGTCTGTGTGTGTAGAGGTGGGTGGCACTTCTTTTGCATCTCCAGTCATTTCAGTAAACTGTGTGAGTTTGCAATTTTAGGGTAAAACATGTGATAGCAGATAGTAGCTGGAGAGACAGAGATAAAGGGAGACAGAGAGGAAGAAGAAGGGAGGAAGGAGGGAGCGAGGGAGGAGGTGAGACAGGGGAGGATGGAGGCAGTTTCAGCTTTCAAGGTGGAAACATTGTGCAGATCGGTCATGTAGCATCACCACTGAGCTTTACCCTTTAACATTTGCCTGAAATGAATAATTTATGCGGTGTCTATCTGACCACAATTTTTAAAAAGTAAGAAAGCAATAACAGAAATCTTCAGTGGTTCCATTCCACTTTTCTGCCAAAGTGACTACCTTAAAGACAGCCTCTGCTTGGGGACATTTATCCTTAGGGAACCTTTTTTAATGTAGTGAGGATTCTCTGGGCATGATTTTCTCCTGACAGTTTAAATCACCCCCATACCTTAAACCGTGCAGTTGGAAAAGGCCTGGTGAGCAGGAACCAGCAGAATGGGTGGCCTGGGAGAGTCGACTTGTGGGGTTAATTTATAACTAAGACAAACGAATCTATAAAAAAGGAGAAAGCCCCATAAGAAATATGTTAAGTGATGGTAAAGGAGAAAAAGGATTTAGATGAAAGGCACCCGAACCCCTGCAGGCCCAGTGCTTTTATGACTGAAGAATTCAATTACAGGTGTGCTGCACGGGCAGGGCGCAGTTCTGCAGATCACTGATAGGACGCTCGATCCCTAGCATCCCTGTCTGTGCACACGTGATGTCAGCAGCCGGGCCTGGCCAGACACGTGGCCTGGCCTCCCCTCAGCCTGAGTCACAGGGCTTTGGGGTTCAGCGTAGATCAGATCTTAGGGTGGGCAGGTAGGTGCCACACGGTACCCTTGGAACTAAAATTCAGAACTAGGAAAATTTACTTCTAAATTTTGTGAATTTGTTTCATTTTACATTGGTTTGTCTGTTTGGTTTGTTTTATTTCTTTTTGGTGGTGCTAGAGATTGAACCCAGAGCCCTTGCACATGAAAAACGTAAGCCTTGCCACTGAGCCTCAACCCAGCGCATGTTAATTTCTTTTAAAATAATTTATTACTAAATAGCTATAAGAAACATCATATTTAATTGTACAAAAACTATTTTACTTCCTTAGTTTCTTCCAATTATTGTTAATCTCTCTCTCTCTCTCTCTCTCTCTCTCTCTCTCTCCCTCTCTCTTTCTCTCTCTCTCTGACTCTGTCTGTCTTGGTACTACGGATTGAACCCAGAGCCTTCATGCTGACCTATATGCCCAGTCCCCCTTTTTTAATTTTTTTGTATTTAGTACAGGGTTTACAGGGTCTACAGGGTCTCACTATGTAGACCTGACTCCTAGTGATCCTCCTATTTTCAGCCTCCCAAATTCTGGGATTACAGACACACTCCACCACGCACCCAGTCTCAATCTCTGTCTCAGCGTGCCCTGGAGGCAGGGCCAGCACAGCAGGCCCAGGGATCAAACCCCGGGGCCCTGCATCTGCCTAAGCAGGAGCTTTAATTCACTGAGCTCTTTGGCTGGCCCTATCACCAGCCCTTTTTAATTTTTTTTATTTTGAGACAGGGTTTCACTAAGTCACTCAATTGCCCAGGCTGTGCTAGAATTTTCTATCCTCCTGCCTCAGCCTCCCCTAGTGCTATAATCACAGGCATGTGCCCCCAGGCCCAGCCCTGTACACATTTATTTACTGGCAGAGACCAGGTAGCACTTTTACTCACATCACTTTGTTTCTGCCTGCTCTCAGATGTGTCCAGAGGACCTGTTTTAGTGACATTACCTAATTTACTAAGCCAGGTTTGGGGTGTTTACATCATTTTTCCACAATTACAGCCCCGCTGACACTGATACGCTTGCCTACCCTGTGCGTGTATCTTCAGGTGCTTCTTTCATTTCATTTTAAAACTTATTTTCTTCAGAGACATTACCAGGAAAGGAGTGTAGAAGGAAAAGTGCTCAGCAGCTTCCCTACCTCTTGTGCTTCTGGTTTTTGTGACCTAGAAAACTGGCAAATAGCTCAGCGGATTAGAGCGCTTGCTTAGGCGGACGCACCTGCGGGTTCCATCCCCAGCAGCTGTGCCGGCCCCGCCCCCACCCCGGGCACGCTGAGGGCTGCTGAGATTGGGTGTGGCAGAGCAGCAGGTAATCCCAGCTCTTGGGAGGCTGAACACAGGCGCATCACTACCAGTGAGATCCTGTAGACCCTGTACTAAGAAAGAAAGAAAGAAAGAAAGAAAGAAAGAAAGAAAGAAAGAAAGAAAGAAAGAAAGAAAGAAAGAAAGAAA